TATTAGTATATATATATATATATATATATATATATATACATACATACATACACATATACACATACGTAGGCTCAATTCTTTTTAAAGATACCTGTAGCAACAAAGTTGGCAAATAATATCCAACAAGCTGCTATTACCGCTGCAAATCCCATAACAAATCCAATAAATAGCCAACTCCGCGCACCTCTTGCTCCTAAACAGCCACCATTATAAGCTTCTCCTCTTATTTGTGCATTTGTTACTGAATTAACCCTAAGAATATTGTTTTCTAAATTAATTACAATTTTAACAAGACTATTATTAAGAGTTCTACATATCCTCTGCTGATTAATAATATATTTTATTTTATTTTATACAGAATATATATATGGTATTGATAATACCATCAATGTTACTTACATAAAAAGTGATATGGTACCAAATACTCCACAAACATGATACGCATTTACCATTTCATTTGGATATTTTGCATGTGCATCTATTATGAACCACCATCCTACAAAAAACTAAAACAATATTTCAGTCAGTTCAAAATTTTGCACTTTCCTTATGAAAAAGAGAGTATCATTAAAAACACATAATTTTTGTATGAAGCAAACATTTATAATATTTAAAGAAAAATTAAAAGAAAAAAAGTGAAGAGAGAAAATATTAAAGAAATTATTAAAAACTTATTAAGAAAATAGCGTTTATCGATAATGTTATGGTTCATTTATATATTTCACGACGCATTGTGGATGTGAAGCTTGTGTATGAATTTACCAAGGTGCCTGCGAGCATCGAGACGAGGGCATTCCTCTTCTCGCCGCCCTCGAACCAGACGCAGGACGGCATCTGCATATTTTCGAAACAGGACGTCATTCTCCTCCGCGACACGCAGAGTTCTTGTCGAAAATTCGAGGATGCTAAATTTCCGCGAGTGTGGAGATAGCTAACCTTATAAACGATGACAGATATCAGATATCAACATATACAACATATATAATATAGGCTGGGTTTCGTAAAGCGCATATGCGCGCGTTTTGTTATGGTATACGTGACATAAACTATAGATAAATGCGCGCATATGCGCTTTACGGAATCCAGCCATAGTGCACTGAGAAACGTAGATATCGGTGATGTCACAGCCATTTTGTATTGGTCCGCCATTTTTTAACAATTCCCGCCTGTATTCGAATACTTATATTTGTGTTACTTTTTTAATTTAAATAATTAAAACAATTAAATAATTAAAATAAGTAATTAAATAATTAAAATAATTAGAAAATAAACATTTTAAAGATATTGACAAATAGATTTTTTTATATTATATATCCAAATAATATTTAATTTTTATCAAAATTATTTTTGAAATTCAGATATATACAAATATATACAAATATTACCTATTTTTGCAAAGAAAGTAACTGTTTATTGACATCTTCCAATTTATTCTTCCAATATCGTTTGTCCACAAAGCACAATGTTCGCTATTCGAGAAAACATGTTTATTATTCATTTTTGATCACATAATCTATTTGAAGCTAAAAAATAGCGATGCATGAAAAAGGTACCTTTATAAGTATGAGAGGTAGTATTAAACTTG